GAGAAATGAGCAATATCTATAAGAAGGGCGCAAAAAAAATTTGAAAAACTATAAAGGCATCTCTTATTCTTAGATATAAAGAGGTCCATTTTCCCTAACTAAGATATAAAATTAATGTCATCCAAATAAAAATACCAGAAGGGTGAGTGATCATTTGACAAGCTGATTTTAAAGATCACATGGAAAAAATAAAAAGCAAACATATTCAGGAAAAAAATCTAACGACTAATAAGAGTCTAACCCTATTAGATATCAAAACACATTATAAATGTGTGATTCTGGTCAAGTATACACAGACCTGTTAATGTGCCAGAATACAAAATCTATAAACAAACCCCAATATGCATAGGAATGGAGTCAATTTGTTGCCTACGTATCCAAACAAAAGGAAATTCTAAAGGATGTTCTTTAGGCAGAAGGGAAAAACAATCCCTTCAAAATAACAGAACTGGGTAGATGTGCCGAGACATTTACACAAACTTGTGTAGATGGCGTCAGACATCTCTCACACTGGTCTTTGGTTCTTTCAAAGCTCAACAGAAATGACTTGCAGATTGTTGAATGTGCTGTCTCCTGTCTACATGTTTGAATATGTGATTCGTTGGGTCTGGAAGGCCTTTCCCACCTCCCCATCTGCCAGACTCGTACTCAAGCTTCCAAAAAGTTCAGGAGTCACTCTTCTGGGAGGCATCCTTTTCTGAGGAGCCAGAAGATGTGCGATCTCCTACACGTTGCCTTCCCTCCAGGTTCCTGCATCGCCATCTTGTTCTTCATCTATTATTTGTTCCTGACATCACTGCCAGGGGAATACTGCTAAAATATAGATCGAATCGTGTCTCTTTCCTGCTCAAAAAATTTTTTTTTTTTTTTAAGATTTTTATTGGGGAATTAGGGGGATAGGAACAGTGCTGGGGAATTGGGGTAAGGGGAACAGACAAGTTGCTGTCGTTTTGTTCTTCAGTCTAGTTGTGGAGGATGTNGCTGTTCCCATCCCCCCAATTCCCCAATAAAAATCTTTAAGAAAAAAAAAGTTTAATTTATAAATGAGGCAAGTAAGAGATTAACAACAATCACTAGCAATAAAATAGAACAATTATTAACAATATACCGCAATGCAAATTATGTGACTGTGGTCCCTCTCTCTCTCTCAAAATATCTTATTGTACTTATGATGATGTAAGGATACCATGCCTACCTGATGAGGTGAATGAGGTGGAATTTTCCATTTAATATTTTGGACTACAGTTGACCGCAAGTAACTGAAACAGTGGAAAACGAAACTGTGATTAAGGAGAAACTGCTGTAGCCTTAGTAGAGTGTAGGAGACTAGAAGACTATAATTAATTAACTTTTTAAAATGATCCGTTTTACACTTTCTGAAGGAAGAAAATAGGATTCTTGAATCAGTGGAAAGAATAGAAATGTTCTAAATTTAAAATGTATATTATTTCTAATACTTTCTGTATAGATTATCTGTCACCGAAAATCTTTGATCCAGTGGACATCTCACTTTATCCTGGATGCTTCTCTCTGTCACTTGGCAATGTGTGCTCAAACAAGGGAGGTTAATTTTACCAACAGATCGAAACAAGACATAACTAAGGAGTCACTGAGGTGCCAAAGATAAGACCCTTCCCCCAGCAATGGGTGTGATACATTTGATGCATTACAATCAATTGCAAGATCAGTCACAAGAAATTCATCAGTCATAACAGTGCTGAAATTTGCCGGTGATATATCTAAAAGCTAATTAGAGCAGACCCAGGTTATCTCCGTAACAACATCGCTTTGTTATATGTGCATTTCGACATGTTTTCTGGGAGAGGAAAGGGCAGTGTATAGATAGCTACCAGAGACTAACATTATTTTGTAAGTGTGCCCGTGGAAACGCATCACAAATGTGAAGAGCATCTATCTTCTCTACAGCGGTGGAGAAAAGTTGAGAATACCTGAGCTAAAGGATTTCTGAAAATATACATTGTTTTTGTCACCTAATTCCCATTTCCCCTTCTTGTGGCAATCCTGATTTTAAAATGGGAATCCCACCCCATCCCCCCCCCACACACACACTCCTGGACTTTAGAAGCAACTTTTTGCCTAGCTCCAGGGGTGGTTTAGGTCCCAAGGCTAGCCCATCAAAGCTTGTATACCTCTGGCTACAGTGATTAGAAAAAAAAAAAATCTTGGCTGTGGTAACTAGCAGAAGGAGTTGAACCAAAGGCTACTGATATTTTTATGGGACTTGTATTGCCAAAGAAACCCCAAGCCTGGCAGTTTATTGCTTTTCTAGGCTGCCAACTTGTGCCATAGCTGAAGTTGAGTAGTCAGTCTCCAAAAAGAAGATTTACCCCATGGCCACCTCTGTCATAGCCACAGAGAATAAGGGACAAGCAAGATCTTCTAGCAGGGAGAACCAGGGACCACGGTGGACCACAAAGAAGATCCCCACAGAGAACCAATCTGGAGGTTCGCAGCTGGCTGGCCAAGAAACTCACTCCACTGCCAGAGAGGGAGTCCTCCATATTTCTGTCTAGCAGGATATAATGTGTGGTGTGACCGATGGTAACTGCGTACTATGTTCTATCCATTCTTTCCTTTCCAGAATTAGGCTTTTCATTGTCACTATGCTGTTTCTTCTCCATCACTTAAAAAGATATATTAGGTATAGATAACTTGTGTTTTAGGTTGTTAAGCCTCAAGTGGCCATGTCCAAACTTGATGAGGGGGACTATATACATCAGCCCCAAATCCTGGTCTTGGAACTGAGCACAGTAACCAGATCAAGCCCTGGGGAGGGGATGTTGGTACGTACTCTGTTTTTATAGGTATGAACATTTTTAAACAACCACCATTCACCCCTTACTCCCTTTCCAACCAAATTCTCCTTTTGTTTTGAGAACCAGTCTCCATAGAGCCACAGGCTGAAATGAAGTCAGAGAGGTAGCCTGGGACCAGCTCATCCCTGCAGGCTTCTTAAGAATTTGGATTATACTCTAAATTCACTAAAGTATAAACTCCATGAGGCCATGGATTTTTTGTCAGTGCTGAATAAAGACAGTATGTGTAATGGGAGGGCTTTGCACAGGGCAGTGATGTGATCTTCTGTCCAGAGAATAGGCTGCAGTGTGGGTTACAGCAGAGTAGAGTGTAGCATAGATGTAGGGAAGGTAGTCCAGGGGAGAAATGATGCGGCCTTAACCTGGAATGGTCATGGCGGAGATAAAGAAGTGACTAGATTCAGATTATATTTTGAAGACTAAGGGACAGTCTTCAAAGTGGACCCTATGAGAAGACAAAAGTAACAAAATAGTAATTGAGCAACGTTTGATTCAAAGTCACATGGCTGAATAACAAACCTTCAAATAGTCACTAGAACTTCTCTCTGATTTTTCTAAATTGTGATAAAATATATATGACCCAGTTTACCATTTTAATCATTGTTAAGTATACAGTTCAGTGTCATTAAGTACACTCCTAATGTTGTGTAACCATCACCACAATCTATTTCCAGAAATAGACTTTTAAAAAAAATAAAACTTTTTTTTGAGCAATCG